TCACTCATCTCACAGCCAAACTATGGACAGTATCTCGACAGCACCACTTCTGACCTGCCATCCAACTCTACAACGACATCAGCACTGCAGTATTATTACGATGATGGACCACCCAAACCACCAAGAAAAAAGCAAACCTAGGGAAAGAAGAGAATGGTGATGATGTCATTCTGACAGACTTCCAATCCAAATCCATTAAAGCAGTACCACTCTGTCGACTGAAATCCCAAATCTTGCTTTGAAATCACTGGTGGTCCCAATGGCTTGTGTTCTTCCACGAATTGTTGGTAATTGGATTGCTCGTTCAACTTGCCAAACTGAAATCTGAGTGGATTGTAAGTGAGGAGATAGTGTTGCTTGCCCAAATGTCCAACAATCTTTGTGAGTTCGTTTTGCTCAAAGACGAGATCTAGTCCTAGATTGACATCTAGTATAAGCAAGCGTACAAGAATGGTACAGTTTCTTCTTGTTCAGGATCTTGGATGGCTTGCCAAGGACAGCACAGGTTTGACCAGGTGACATTTTGAAATACACATGTTTTTCCTGGTATTCAAAGCCATTGTGGAACACTATTCTCTCTACCAGTTTCTTTTCAGAGCAGATTGAGAGGGTTTTGAGGAGATCAGTGTCCTTGATGTCATTTGACACGAAATCAAGCACGAAATGGGGATATTTGACAATGTAGTGACCCTTTCTGTACTCCCCTGGAAACGTTGGTCCAAACGAGTGATACAAAAGCTTAAACTGTGGCTCTTGTTCTGGAGAAGAGATTGTGTTGTTAAAGAGGATGGTGTGCTGTCTGTCCATGTCAATATCGATCCTGGTCAAGCAATGATCCTCAAAGTGCAACGTAAAGCACAGAAACTTGACATCACTGTCCAATGAAATCGTTCCAAACTCTGAAATCATCAAAAGTTGATTGACAGTCTCTACTCTGCTCTGTCCCATCTTGATCTCCATTTTAGTGTCTGGAAACAGCAATCCTCTTTCTTTGATTTGGACTTTCATGCTTTTGAGCGTTGTCAGTTGGAACGTTGAAAAGAAAAACAAGATTCCAAGCTTATCCAAGCTCTTTGAACGCACAGTCTCTCCTACACCGGATATCATTGCTGTTGGGTTGCAGGAAGTGTGTTCGCAGTTTCAAGTCTTGCGAACAGAGTATGGACGAAAGACAAACCACTTGCAGATTTGGATACAGCAACTAGAGGCTGGACTAAAAGAGATACACGGTTCACTCTACAGGTTTGAGACATGTGCGAGACACGGTGCGATTGGACTGTTGGTGTTTGTCAAACAGGGCTTAATGGTGTCTCAAGTGCAGTATGGAAGCATCGGGACTGGGTTGTTGGGTGTGCATCACAACAAAGGTCTTAACAATGACTGTAGGAGCTGTTGCAATCTCTTTTGTGGCTCAGAAACAACAAACTCAAGCATTGGTGTGTTTGTGTAGTGCACATCTAGGACCACATGAAGGTTTCAAGAACTTTGAATGGCGCAACACTGAATCTGACCACATTCTGAGTCAGATGGCAGTTGGCAACCGACTGCTCATTGAGCATCCCACCCTCTTTCTGTTTGGAGACTTGAATTACAGAATGCATGACTGTAAGAGAGACGACATTCTGGGTTGGATTCAAGACAAGCAAATTGATATGTTGCTACAGAGAGATGAACTCAAGGCGTTGGAGAAATCCAAGCACTTGCTGTCTAGATTCATGGAACCCAAGATTACATTTCTACCAACGTACAAACTGGATTCCAAGAGAGAGTACAGCAAAAAAAGGCTGCCTGCTTACTGTGACCGTATCTTGTACAATTCAGAGTCTGTACAGCCCATGTCTTATGATAGAGTGCCCTTTAGTCTATCAGACCATGATCCTGTGATTGCCATGTTTATGTTTGAGCCTCAAGAGCCAAACAAGGCATCTCAAGTCTCTTCATGGATACAGAGACGTCTCTTGTTTATCTTGCGTGTCAATCAGTTCCGTATCCTGTTCTTGCTACTCTTGTGGCTTGGCAGTGTCTTTTTCTCCCGAAATTAGCACTTTGTTGAATGAAGCGTCTGTCTCAGATTCCGATTATTGACTTTGCCAAGTACCTCAGAGGCAACCCCATCGAACGACTGCAAGTGTCTAAGTCTGTGGTTGAGGCATTTCGTGATGTTGGCTTCATTTATCTCAAGAACCATTCGATTCCACAGGCAACTGTCGATAGTGTGTTCCAGCACTCAAAGACATTCTTCCAGCTAGATCAAGCAAAGAAAGACCAATTGGCGTGGGAAACACCTGAATCCAACCGAGGCTATGTCAGTCCAGGCAGAGAAAAAGTCACCCAACTGACAAATGCAGAGGACATCAAGAAACTCAGAGAATCACTGCCTGATCTCAAGGAATCACTCGAGATTGGCAAAGAACCATCTAGCAAGTTTCAAAACAGATGGCCACACTTGCCTGGATTCAGAGATCAGATGATGTCATTTTATGATCAGTGTCACGGTTTGCATTTACAAGTCATGAATGCGATCGCACTTGGATTGGATCTGCCAGATCAGTACTTTGTTAAGTTCTGTGACAAGAAGGATCACAATCTGCGCTTGTTGCACTACCCAAAAGCCAAAAAGGAAACACTCCTTGGAGGAAAAGCAACCCGTGCTGGAGCACATTCAGATTATGGCACACTCACTCTCTTATTTCAGGACGATAAGGGTGGATTGCAAGTCAAAGATCCAGAGGGTGTCTTTCAACCAGCTCCACCCATTCCAGGCACCATCGTTGTCAATGCTGGTGACCTTTTGGCGCGTTGGTCTAACGATGTCATCAAATCCACTGACCATCGTGTAGTCAATCGTATATTGCTTGATCTTAGCACCCTCTGAGCCACAGGATGAATACTATCCAGAGCGTTACTCTGTCGCTTTCTTCTGCAATCCAAATCAAGAGGCGTGGATCGAGTGTCTTCAACCATCTCAATCCAATCCACCAAAATACAAAGGTATCAATGCCTACGAGTATTTGACACAGCGCTTGTCCGAAACTTATGTGTGATAAAGATGGATCACGCGCATCAAGACCAATCAGTCTCTTGTCTTGAATACAGTGTCTTGAGATGATATAGACTCTATATCATCATTCTAGTTCTGAGAAGAGTGTTGGAATGCTCCGAAACTTGGAATGTATCTAATAAGGCTTCTCCACCATCTTTGTGTCTCTCATCTGTGTGAAACTCAATATTTTCTTGATTCTTATGAAATACGGTTTAAGGTTCATCGGGCTGATGACGTTTTCCAATCATGTGTCTTTCGCCTCCTCTGCTTTTGATTTCTTTTGTGAATGCTGCCCTGCTGACTGTATCTACTTTTGCTGGAGATGGCACTGGACAATCTACCGATGGCGATGGTATTGCTGCGCGATTCAATGGCCCATATGCGATTAAATCCAACGCATCTGGGTATTTGTTTGTTGCCGATTATTCCGGCTACAAGATTCGAGTGATATCTCCTTCTGGCCTTGTATCTACTCTGGCTGGCAACGGAAACTATGGTTATACGAATGGCAACGCTGCTAGTGCAGCTTTTAGCTATCCCAGTGGCCTCTGTCTTGATACTACTGGAAATGTCTACGTTGCTGATTACAACAACCATTGCATTCGAATGATATCTCTCGATGGCACCGTTTCAACCTTTGTTGGATCTCTGACTGGCACATCTGGTACCACAAATGCAGTTGGAACATCTGCCAAGTTCAACTATCCAACCGATTGTGAATTTGATTCACAAGGCAACATGTATGTCGTGGATTCATCCAATCACAGGATCAGAAAAGTCACTCCAAGTGGGAGTGTGACGACATTGGTTGGTGGTTTGGCTGGGTTTCTAGATGCCAATGGCACAGATGCGAGGTTCACATATCCTTACAATCTGGTTATTAGTCCATCTGATGATCTATACATTGCTGAAAATGTGAACCGTAGAATCAGAAAAGTCACACTTGATGGGGTCGTGACTACGTTGGCTGGTGATGGATCGCAAGCCGTGGTGGATGGGACTGGAACTTCTGCCAGTTTCGATGCACCGCAAGGCATTGCCTTTGGACCATCTGGAGACTTGTATGTTGTTGAAGGCTTGCAGCATCGCGTACGAAAGGTTACTTTGAGTGGAGTTGTGACGACGATTGCTGGAACGGTCTCTGGTTACATTAATGGTGACGAAACTGTTGCCAGATTGCGAAATCCTACCGGCTTGGCTTTCAACAGTTCTGGTGTCTTGTTCATTGCTGATTTCAACAACAATCGCATTCGTCAGATCACTTTTGTGACAACGACTGCTGTCTCTACTACTCTCAGTTCCACTGCTATCTCTACTACTGTCTCTACTACTGTGGCTACTAGCTCCGAAAGTCCAACAACCACGTCAGTGCCCTTTGCTTATGTGACCAGTCAGTCTTCCTCTGAGCCCTACACCACTCTCACGTCTTCCTCTCTTGATTCTACGACTCTCACGTCCTCTTTGCTAGTATCTGCTACTCAGACATCCTCCACTGCAGCCTTTACGACCCAGACGTCTTCCTTGGCAGTATCTGCTACCCAGAATTCTTCTTCGGCAACACTCTCTGTCTCTTCTGTAACAACCTTGCCTTTGATAGCATCGAGTGTGTCTTCTACGCGATCCAGCACTGTCTCTGTGACCATTTCATTGTCACCATCTCCCACCACCTCTTCCTCTGCTACTGGATCGTCTGTTCTATCTGCTGCTCCTCTATCGACCTCGTCAGCCTCTTCACAGATGAGCGCTCCTGCTTCTTTCACCACTTTGCCAGTGGATGCCTCTCTTCCTCCTCCAGCATCTCCTCTTTGGTGGATTGTTCTTCCTGTCGGTGCCGGTGCTGTTGGATCTGCTGCCTTTGCGTTTTACAGACGCCGAAGAGCTTCTCAGATGGAGTTGCCCCAATAAGTGTAGTAAATAACTCTGAAAGATCTTTCAAATGTATGAAAAAAACAAAAAGTAGCGGAGAGTGGTTTTGATCCACCGACCTTTGGGTTATGGGCCCAACGCGCTACCACTGCGCTACCCCGCTGTTATTCCCCCTCTCGCTCATAATAGTATGTTGTTATACTACGCTTTCCTCCATCCATTCCACACTACCCCAATTCTGAATGTTTTGAAATCAATGGTGTTTAGTGATATTCACAAGGATGTAAAGAGCTGGTGCGGATCTGTCAAAGTACCCAGAGCCCTCTTGAGATGCACAGGCAACGAAGCAATTCCAATCTACATTGAATCTTTGCACCTGAATGGAGGCATTCATCCATCCAAAGCCTTCTTTGACGACACATTTGAAATCGCTACCGACATTTCCGTACTAGAGTCAAGATCAATACTTCGACATTGAATTGGTGGGTCATGTTGACGACATCAAACTTTTCAGGCACGACACCGTTGAAATCGACAAAGGCTTTGATGATGAGATAGAGCCATTTGTAAGTGAGTCGATCTTGAGCTGATTTGAAGCCATAGTACTCGAGCCCTTTCCAGGCGAGGATCTGGTGTGGTGCCCATCCAAATGGATAGTCCCATTGTCTGTTGGGTCTGTCGAGACCAATGATGCCTCTTGATTTCTCAGTGCCACTGACAAGGCCACCTGCGACTTCAAACGCTTCCAAGCAGCGGGGAACCAAGAGTGCCGCTCTGGCTTCTGATGGGATCTTTGCCCACAATGGCCACAGAGCGGTAGCCGATTCATAGTCTGTGCGTTTCTGGAGTTTGCAATCCCAATCAAAGTATAATTGTTCTTCAGGAGACCACAGATACTCGTTGATGGCATCTTTTGTGACATTTGCCAGAGATTTCAAGAGCTGGGAGGAAAGGCAAATGACAAAGCGTTGAGAATCAACGAGATGATACGACACCAGTCCTTTCAACTCCACGCGCGTTTCTGGAATAGCAAATATGATGCCTTTGGACCATTCAGAATCCCAATCTGGATGTTGCTGTGTGCCGCCGTTGTTGACAAGATCATGCCACTTGATGAAATTTTCCAAGTACTCGTTTTGTTTGCCCCTCTTGACACTGAGCACAAATCTACTCTCAATGATGTTACATGCCGCTATATTCGGTCTCAATGACATTTGCTAGATCTTCCTCATACTTGTACACAAGTGTGTTGAGATCCACAGTTGCCAGGTGTGCGCACTTGCCTTCAAAGCGATAAGTAGTGTCATGACCACTTTCTCTGACTGCTCTGTCGTGCATAAAATACTCGTCCAGTTCAGGTTCGTGAATCTTTTGGTCGTTGTATCGCTCCACAAACTGTTCAATCGGAAGATGGTGCTTGTCTGCATAAGGCTGCAGAATATGATCAAAGTGGGATGATTCTGTCTCTGGTGGGACACCGATGCCGTCTGGATGATACTTTGACAACCCAGTGGTTCTGTCCAGTCGCAGATTGTTGAGCCAGACACTCAGCAACTCTTTCAAACAGGCAAACAAGACATTGGTAGTCCATTCTTTCACTCGCTCTTGTGTCCATTCCTGCTTTTTCAAGAGTTGTTTTCGTGTTTGGATAAACATGTCAGTGAGAAAAGGTGGTTGAGATCTGCAGAGATAGTAGGATCTGTTGGCGTTCAAGATCTTGCCATAGTGTTCGATTTCGTAGCAAAAGTTTTCAACCATACCACGAGCCAGTTCCACTCGACTGTCTTCCAACAATCCAAGTGCTTCAAAGTAACTATCCCAGCCGTACATTTCGTTGAATCTGCCGCCTGGAACAATGAAGGGTGTGCCTTTGATCTTGACTTCATCATCAGATTTCACCAATCGCAAGCCAAGAGACAGAATGCCTGGATGGTGGTTGAGTGACTTGACATACTCTGGTGTAATATCTTCTGGCAGACGCACAACTTCAAGTCCAAGATGCGGTCGCTCCAAACTTGTGCGTTCAAAGTAGTCTAAAGCGAGTTTGTCTCCAAATGGGATATAAATCCTGTTCTTTTGGTCATCTTGTCTGTTCTTGGAGTCATGACAGATCTTTTCCAGTCCAGAGGCATCGATTCTTCTTGTGAGGGCATCCCAAAAGTGATACTTGATCAGTCGTTGGATCCTGTCGACTGGATTCTCTGTCAATCTGCTTTCAGTGAGGATGATGTGTGTTCTGCCCAAATCGGAAGCCAAAGCAAGCTCCTGAAGCAGATTTGAGATTTGGTACGTGCCCCTGACTTCAAATGAATTGAATCCACCAGAATCCAGGGTAGGTAGCTGAAAAGACTTTGGCCCAGCATCCTGGATGGTTATCTGAAAGTTGCCATCTGTGTCTTCCTGCATCAAGATTTGAGCTCTGATGAATCTAGATACCCAATGTCTTTTCAACATCAATCAGGAACCTCCGCTCTTTGAAGCTAGGGTCATGGCTTGCTCTCCTCCGTCGAGGTTGCTGATTTCTCGAAGACTGTGACTTGTGTCAACCCAAGTACATTTTTCCTAGTCCTTTGCTCAAAATGATCCTGTCCATGAGCAATCTTGAGGTCTGGATCAGGATCCTCGAGTTCTAGCTCATACATTTCCTTGACCAAATGTGACATTGGGAAAGTTCATTTTCTGATGGATTTCAGCTCTTGTTCCATGTAATGCCTCCTAGTAAAGTCAAAGACTTTGCCAAACTGCCTCCTTTTGATTTCATCTAGATGCCCAGCGCGATAAGACATCCGCAGTTCCTTTTCTGGATCCTTGACCGTTGGTTTCTTGTGAATTTGTTGGATTGGAAAGTATTGCAGATTCAAATCATACTTTTCCTCTGGAAACACAAAGTATGTTCTCTCTGGTGGAATGTCCACTATCTCTAGACTCTCTGATGACAATTGCTTGATCATCTTCTTCTGCTGTCTCTGTCTCCTCTTTGGCGCGTGATTTTCCAGCGCTTTCTCTATTCTCAAGCTCAATGCCTTCTATCGATGACAAGACTTTTCTAAATGCTTCCTGTCGCTTGAGTTCCCCCTCCTGAAGTCGTGTCTTGAGTTTGGCTCTGTCTTCTACCATTCGTTTGTGTTTCTGTTCCATCTGGTCTTGAAGTCGCTTTCTCTCTTCTTCTGAAGCAAGCTATTGTCAAATGTTGTACCCATGAGCTCTTGCTGGCTTTTGGATGTCGCTGGACGCGACTTGATTCCAGTGGTCCATTTGCCAGATGGTTGACTCCTTTACATGTATGTGGTATCTTGAGTGTGTCTGGTTGGTGGTTTTTAACAATTTCTCGCATTCGGAGAAAAGCCTATGCTGAGCTGCAACACTTCTAAGCGCATGCACAGATGTGATAGTGTCAGTGTAAGCAGAGTTTACTGAAGCATGGCTTGAATGTCTGCCTGAGACGAAATCAACTTTGGTGTTGGAATCGTGACACCATTGAGCTTCTCCAATCCTTCGCCGTCATAAGTCACCAATGGACTAATCTCAAACTGTGGTGTGTCATATCCAGGAGTACTGGCAACAACACCACCATGAGCTTGGACAAATCGCACATGTTGTGCCATAATATCGTGTCTTGACGTCTCTGGAGAGTCTCCGTCCTTGCTACCTGGTGCATTCTTGAGTGGCGAGAACTCATCCTTTCTTGCGACTTCCAAGACAGCCATGCGCTCGGTGAATGGAAAGACGTCAAAGATGAACAACTCGAGTTTGATGCCATTGGCTTCGTTTGGCTTGACTGTTTTTCCTTGTGCATCCACGTGTGTGATCTTCTTTTTGGCAATGTGATATTCGAGCTTGGATTCAAACTCTTCAATCTTTTTCAAAAACGCAGTCGTGTAAAAGTGGTTGGCAATGTTAGCTGCATTGTAGACCAGCGTACCATCTGGTTTGCGCTGTTCAGCGAGTTTTGGATCAATCTCAGAGTACTCGACGACTGCGAATTTGTTGTTTCTGAGACAGATGACACCGACACTCTCAGTAGGAGAGACCTTTGGCACAGATTTGGCACCGCAGTCTGCGTTCTTTTCAACACAGTATCCAATAAAGACTGGATCACCGACTTTGACCAAACAATTGTCCACACAGTAGCAGTGGACGTATGGAATGCCTCTCTTTTCAAGATCATCAATCACACCCTCCTTTCTGAGTGCTGCATAGATGCCACCGTTGCCATCTGGAGACAGTGCTGGAGAAGACTTGGTTTCCATAAAGATCTTGCCTTCAGGTGTGAATGCTGGAAGGACACCTTGCTGGAAGAAGATCACGTTTTGTGGATCAAGACCAAAGAAATGCTTGGATTTGAAAAACTCGACAGTGTTGTCGTGTGTTGGTCCAGATGTCATGACATACCATGGAATGACAACTTTTTGGCCGTTGCTGTACTGCGATGCCACCTATTCTTAACCATCTTACTTGCTGCAAACGCAAGATACGCTCTCCTTGGAGCTGGAACAAACTCTTGTGTGATGGTAACCCAATGTCATAGCATCCCTTTGGTGCAGAAGAACCTAATCTGGTTCCTTGCCCACCAGCCAACAAAATCACACCGACTTTGTTTTGAGCAATCAACTTGAGACCAATCTCTCGCCAGTGCTTGACCTTTTCAGGGTTTGAAATCGTGGAATCAAATGCTGCATCTGGCAAAGGACTGACACTGGCATTGCTGTTGGGCGGTGCTGTCGTTGCTGTCTTGAAGATGCGATTGCAACGATCGATATCAATGGAAGAGAGTGTTTTTTGGAGCTGCTCCTTTTCAGTTTGAGAGAGACTGTCTTTGAACTGGAACACTTGTCCCTGGCCTGCCTGTTGGTACTTTTGTTCGAGTGCTTGCATGATGTGGAAAGTCGCGCAGAGGAAGCTTGTGTTGCTACATCTAGAGATCGGCCAAGATTTACCAAGATTCAGAGTCAGATTGACTTGCACATGGAATCTCTTGGATGTCTCACAGATATATCTCTGCAAGTCTCTATAAGATATCCAGGGGTATCTCTGTGGATTGGCAGGACCATCTCAGGTGTGAGAGGAGTGTTGTGCTCGTGAAACGTAGGGTACGACCCTTTTACGGGCACTTTCCGTGATGCCACTCATTCTGAACAGCCTGCTCTTGGGAACTGAAATCCT